AGACCTACTGTCTCTGATTAGACCTACTGTCTCTGATTAGACCTACTGTCTCTGATTAGACCTACTGTCTCTGATGGACCTACTGTCTCTGATGAGACCTACTGTCTCTGATGAGACCTACTGTCTCTGATGGACCTACCGTCTCTGATGGGACCTACCATCTCTGATGAGACCTACTGTCTCTGATGAGATCTACTGTCTCTGATTAGACCCACTGTCTCTGATGGACCTACTGTCTCTGATGGATCTGTTTCTCTGTCTGCACACAGGTGAACTTTGTGTTGATCCTGTTTCAAGCCTCAGCTCTGGGATCAGCCCTCCTCTGGTATTAAAAAACAACCTTCATGTTCAGAACTTTTGCACACCCTGAGTCCTTCTATTACTGTGACTACACTAGAAGTTTCATCATGCTTCATGTATGATGAGTCAAAGTTGGTGGGGCTCCAGTGGAAAATTTTAGAAACAGGTTCTGTAGCATCGTTGTAGAATCAGTAACTTGTTATTAAGAGACACGTAATCATTTAAAAAATATACTGCTTTCGAGGGTCTGAATCTTTAAGAATAACCGACGTCTGGAGTTTTTATTATTTTATTTTTTTTAACACTGATGTGGAAATCAGGTCACTTAAACGTGAAATTTTGAAATATAAATGTGTTTCTCAATGCACTCAAGTTTGTTCRTTTTTTCTTTTGACAAAGGGGGTTAAAATATGTGAGTTTAAATAAAGAATTTGTCTTTCCCATGAAATTGCAGTGTGAATGCTTAATGCTGAAACTCTTTTTCCAGACAAAAAGAAAAGATGTACAAAAATGTTACAATTTGTTGTAAAATAGCAAAATAACTGACATTAGCAGAATAGTAGCTGAAAATCTGAATCTAGCAGACAAAGAACTTGTTTTCTGAATTAAGCAGCTGAAAAGTTAAAATTATCACAAAAGGTTAAATTTAGCTGAAAAGTGTCAAAATTAGATGAAAATAGCTAAAAAGTCACTTAAATTACAGAAAACAATGGAAAGAAGCATAAAATGTAAGTTAGTAGAAAGCTGATTGAAGCACAAAAAATAATTAGTAGCATAACTGATGAGAACAGAAAGAGAGAAAAAAGCTAATATTAGCCAAAAAAAAAAGCTGAAAGAAAGTAAAATTAGCATAAGAAAAAGCATGAAAAGAATAAAATGTGTAAAAGGTTTAATTATTTTTGAAGGATTTTAATGATGTTGAAAGACAGCATTCACACATTAAAATCTCAATGATTTAACAAAWGTAGGCCCTTTTTCCTCAAGGATACAGCTCAGGAAAACAAAAGTGAAAAAGGGTAAAGTGAAGTGTTGACAGCTTCATTACATATCTGCAGTTTTCTCTCCAACAAGACGCTCTGTAAGTGTGAAAAGGTCACATGCTGAAAAGAGAGAAATTACTGCCACCAGCTGGCTTCCTAACACAAATCATTTTTTTTAACAAGACTCTAAAATAAATAATAATCCAAGTGTGTTTCTTTTGTGTCCATATGGCTATTTAACTTATCAAATAGAATAGCATACAAACAAAAATTAGATGTATCACAAAAAAATTAAAAAAATAAATAAAACTCTGGTTTCATGTCATTTTGTTGTATATGGCACTGAGTTCTGCTCGGACTTTCTTAAAGGACGGCCTGTTTTGGGGGTCGTACTGCCAGCAGTGGTTCATGACCCTGGAGATCTCCACGGGGCAGCTGTGTGGAGCGGGCATACGGTATCCTGCAACACATCACACACACACACAGAGTCACATCTGGACACAAACATCCAGACTCTTTACTCCTCCTCACGTCAGATCAGAGTCTTTACCTCGCTCCACCTCGTCCCGAGTCTGCTGGTTGTTCATGCTTGTGTACGGTGTCRTTCCCATGGAAAAGGTCTCCCACAGTAAGACCCCAAAGCTCCACACGTCACTCTGCGTGGTATAACGACCTGGTGACAGCAGGTGGCAGCATTGGCACAAGGCAGAGCTGCTTTTACAAACAGGAGAAATGTGGCCTACCATAGTTCAGGGCTTCTGGAGCGGTCCATTTGACTGGGATCTGCCTGAGACTACCCTCTGCAGAGTAGATCCCGTCGTCTCGCTCCCGGGACATCCCAAAGTCACTTATCTTCACCACGTTGTGCTCTGCAACCAGGCAGTTCCTCGCYGCCAGGTCCCTGTCAGATGATGTGAACAGAGGAAAACATGAATCTCTGCGTGACGAGGAGAACTGCAGGTGATGCTTCCCTGTCTGAGGTGCTCTGCCGCTCTGATCTGTGCCCACATGCTGAGCTGAACGTTGAAATGTAACTGAGAGGGACAACACAGTTCCACCTTCCTCCTCCTCCTCTTCCACCGAAAGCTCCACATCCAAAGCCTCCTCCCCCACATCCAAAGCTCCTGTTCACAAACCCACTCAGAAACAACTAAAATCTGCTTCTTTTCAGGCTGAATTTTCACCCAAAGACACAGGCTCCAGTGTTACATCTCTGCTTTTCTTATCATTCAAGCAAAAAAAGACAATTTTGTTTGATTCTAAATACAAAATCTCACATTTAAACTCAACATGCAGATTCACACTCAGCATCTCACAGACGCACAAAGAAGACAGATTTCCTCTTCAGGTGTAAAAAAAAATATGCAAACGAATCTCATTACACCCTTTTTGTGTATTTTTCCTTTCAGTTTTATATCTGAATGGAAATAWTTCAGCTGCAAAGGGGATGAGAATGATCGATCACATTAAACTGCTGTTTTAAGATAATAAGAATTTTATGTAGCAACGATTTGATTAAATGAACCAAAGCTGTTTTTGTGTATCTGTAATTCCTGTTTCTCTTCAGAATCCTGCTCATTATTCAGACATTTACAGCTTTGGGTATCTGGGAWGTTGGGTTAAAAATAGTTTCTGGTTTTGTGTATTTGTGCATTTTTGTAAGTTGCTGGGAAGCCAGAAGGCTGTTTTCCCAGCATTCATTTGAGGAAACTGTTTTTTTTATTATTATTATTATTATGTCTGGCAATTCTTTTCTGACTTCATCAACATAAGGGGAAGTTGTGCGAGGAAGGCAAAAATAACATTTAGTGGTCAACGTGAGGGATGCTGAATTAAACTGAACTAAAATAGGTTCAGTCATTAATTTGTACTGGGCTGTTGCTTGTTTTAACAAAAAGCTTATTTAAATTGTTTTGTTTCATTTTATGGCAACTTTAAGTAAATGAGCAGCAAAAATTAAAGGAAAGCTACACATTACACTCTAGATTTTAGGTTTTACTGCATCAAATTGCGCTTTTTTTAATCCATCCCTTATCTTTTATCCACTTCCTCTTTTTAGAGTTACTGGTGCCCATCTCCAGTAGTCACTGTAATTATTGTTGTGATTTGATAGAAAATTACTGAATTAACTTTCAACAATGGATTTTCTATAGATATATGAAACTAAAAAATCAAATTTATCATATTAATAATACTTTTTTTTCTTATTTTATCTTACTATTTTAATCTTTTTCTACCTCTTCTATTTTTTTAATATTCTGATTTATTTGCTACGGTTGTTGTGTAAATGTTTATCTTATTTTATCTTTATTATTCGTTTTTTACCTCTTCTTTTACCTTTTTTAATATTCTGGTTATATGCACTACGAGAGCTGCAAAATTATTCCATTTTTCATTGTCTGTGGACTGCAGTGTTATTTTCAGTGCAACAAAGAAAATATCTATCTATCTATCTATCTATCTATCTATCTATCTATCTATCTATCTATCTATCTATCTATCTATCTATCTTCTATCTA